CCCCCCCCCCCCCCCCCCCTTGTTTGTGTGTTTTTGCCGGGACGAGGGAGATGGTGTGTGCCGAGGGCGGGGGCACAGCGATGGAAAAGGGTCGCGGTGTCTTGGTTTTGGTCCAGGACGGAATTTTGGATGCCGGTTGCATTTGGCAATGTAAAAAACAAATTGTGACGCTTCTTGGTGCTTGTTCATGCCATGTAGACTTCGGGGTCTTCTTCACAGAAAAAATGCTCCAGCGTCGTCCCACCCTCCAGCAGTATACCATGCGTTTCGTGGGTAATCGCCGGGTCTTGGCTTGTGATAGTTCTCGGTTTATGGCTCGGTTCGTAGCGTTGGTCTCGTCTGCATCGGATGCTGCGGTAGCAACGCCGAAATGCTCTGTTTCGCTTCCAAAACCGGCCGCGCCGAACGAAGTAGTTCATAGCCTTGGCGTTTCAATTATGTTTTTCGGACACCAACAGCTTGCTTGCGTGACAACCCAGGTTGCCACCAACGTACCTTGCCGGTCTCAAACCCAGACATGTCTCGTGACCACTATCCATGCCCCCCCCCCCCCCCCTCCGGTCAACAGACCCGAATGCTTTTTGCCGCACCGCTCCCAATGCATGCTGTTCACATTCACGAACTAAGCGTTTTGTTGTCATTGCTGCGTCCATGTGCGGAATTGGCGATCTGCGATGCCCCCCCCCCCCCCCCCCCCCCCCCCCCCCCCCCCCCCCCCCCCCCCCCCCCCCCCCCCCCCCCCCNTGTTCCGAGCAGCCGGTCTCTTCTCTGCTTCCGCCCGCATGCTGTCCAAGGGCAAGTCGGGCGTCGGTGCCTCCGCGTCACCCCCCGCCAAGCGAGCGAAAACGCCGCCCAAGGTGAGCCAAGTTTTGGTTCAGCTAGGGGTTCGGAGCGCCGACACCCGCTGTCTCAATCACCCGCCCGTGCGGAGGGCGACCGATCGGCCCAGGACTGACCATGTGCTGTGTATTGATGCGTATGGTACACGCGAAGAGCGTCGTTCGCTGTTTTCTCTGATGTTTTGTTTTCGCCTTGTGAGTACCGTTTCACGTTGCAGGATAACTGTCCCACACGACATAACAATCCCCGTTTGATGCTTAATATACCATTCACGGTGGTCAAAGCTTTTGCGGGTCAACATGAGAAAGCCCGAGACATGAGAGTGCTTTCTCAGATCACGTGTTAGGGCAACACAGCAAATAAGCAACACCGGGTGAACTTGTTTTTGGAGCCAAAATGTTGGATATCACCGGGTTATTTTCTTGCGTTGTGTACGGTTATTTCGCTTCGGTAGTCTGCACGGGTTTTCTTAGTACACAAACATACTGGATGCAATATAGAACAGGCTAAGTTGGGGGTAGGGTTAAGGGTTTTTCTAAGTGAGCAAACATGCTGGGTACACAGAGTAGAATCGGCAAAGCTGGGGGTTGGGTTAGGCTTGAAGTCTACGTACCCCCTGCCTGGTCTTTCCCGTACTAAACTTACGTAATTTGCGTAGGCAGTCCTATCGCGTTGCACATATGTTCGTCGTTCCCTACGGCTTCTGCCCTGGATCGTTGGTACCAGGGATCAACCAGCGTCTTTTTTTTATCGCCCCATCTTATCGCGTCTCCCGTTCCATCACCACCGCCGCCGCGAAGGCCACCAAGAAGAGGAAGGCCGCCGAGGTGGAGGAGGAGGAGAAAGAGGACGAAGGCGAGGAAGCGGACGAGGAAGAGGAGGAAGAGAAGGAGGAGGCGTCTGGTCCCACAACGGACGAACTTAGAGTCAAGGTAGGCAGGTTGGGTTTGATGGAGGAAGAGTCACTTCGGACGAATTTAGAGCCAAGGTAGCACAGCAGTGATTGGTTAGGTTTGGGGGAGTCTGGTCCCACAACGGACGAAGTTTCAGAGTCACGGTAGTGATTTTGAGTCGGGTTTTGATGGATGGATGTGGCTACATCCAGCTTCTTCTTATTTTTTATTTTTTCCATTTGTTGTACTGTTTTCGTTAAGTGTTGGGTGTCCGAGCCCGTTGCACGCGACACGTTAGCGCCTGCTGCGAACGCAAGCAACGGCAAACCATACAAGTCTGAACACTTCATTCCCGCATTCTTTAACCACTGAGATGGGACCCCGCCACTATCCCCCCTCCCCCCAGACACATAGACGCGCTGCGTGGGGATAGCTACATACTGAAACCCCACGAGGTGAGTTGAGATTGCCGGACACATAGACGTGTTGAGTGCGGATAGCTGCATACTGAAACCTCACAGATGCATTGATGTTGGATAGTGCCGGACACATTGACGCTTTGAGGGAGGAAAGACACACACTGAAACCTCACAGGTGATTTGTATTGGAGATTGCCAGACACATAGACGCGCTGCGTGGGGATAGCTGCATACTCAAACCTCACGAGTTGAGTGATATTGGATAGTGCCAAACACATAAACGCTTTGAGTGAGGATGGCTGCATATTNGTTGGATAGTGCCGGACACATTGACGCTTTGAGGGAGGAAAGACACACACTGAAACCTCACAGGTGATTTGTATTGGAGATTGCCAGACACATAGACGCGCTGCGTGGGGATAGCTGCATACTCAAACCTCACGAGTTGAGTGATATTGGATAGTGCCAAACACATAAACGCTTTGAGTGAGGATGGCTGCATATTGAGACCTAACGGGTTGAGTGACGTCTGCGACTGCCGAACACATAGACGCATTGAGTGACGAAAGCTGTATACGGAAAGCTCACAGGTTGATCGGTATTGGAGATTGCCGGACACATAGACGCGTTGAGTAAGGATAGCT